GAAGTTCGTGAGGCAGTAGGTAAAATGAAAGGGGGTAAGGCAGCCGGGATTGATGGGATAAAGATAGAAATGTTAAAAGCAGGTGGGGATATAGTTTTGGAGTGGTTGGTGCAATTATTTAATAAATGTATGGAAGAGGGTAAGGTACCTAGGGATTGGCAGAGAGCATGCATAGTTCCTTTGTATAAAGGCAAAGGGGGATAAAAGAGAGTGCAAAAATTATAGGGGGATAAGTCTGCTGAGTATACCTGGTAAAGTGTATGGTAGAGTTATTATTGAAAGAATTAAGAGTAAGACGGAGAATAGGATAGCAGATGAACAAGGAGGCTTTAGGAAAGGTAGGGGTGTGTGGACCAGGTGTTTACAGTGAAACATATAAGTGAATAGTATTTAGATAAGGCTAAAGAGGTCTTTGTGGCATTTATGGATTTGGAAAAGGCATATGACAGGGTGGATAGGGGGGCAGTGTGGCAGATGTTGCAAGTGCATGGTGTAGGAGGTAGGATACTGAAAGCAGTGAAGAGTTTTTACGAGGATAGTGAGGCTCAAGTTAGAGTATGTAGGAAAGAGGGAAATTTTTTCCCAGTAAAAGTAGGCCTTAGACAAGGATGTGTGATGTCACTGTGGTTGTTTAATATATTTATAGATGGGGTTGTAAGAGAAGTAAATGCGAGAGTCTTGGCAAGAGGCGTGGAGTTAAAAGATAAAGAATCACACACAAAGTGGGAGTTGTCATAGCTGCTCTTTGCTGATGACACTGTGCTCTTGGGAGATTCTGAAGAGAGGTTGCAGAGATTGGTGGATGAATTTGGTAGGGTGTGCAAAAGAAGAAAATTAAAGGTGAATACAGGAAAGAGTAAGGTTATGAGGATAACAAAAAGATTAGGTGATGAAAGATTGAATATCAGATTGGAGGGAGAGAGTATGGAGGAGGTGAATGTGTTCAGATATTTGGGAGTGGACGTGTCAGCGGATGGGTCTATGAAAGATGAGGTGAATCATAGAATTGATGAGGGGAAAAGAGTGAGGGGTGCACTTGGGGAGTTTTGTGGAGACAAAGAATTTTTGTCCTTGGAGGCAAAGAGGGGAATGTATGAGAGTATATTTTTTACCAACGCTCTTATATGGGTGTGAAGCATGGGTGATGAATGTTGCAGTGAGGAGAAGGCTGGAGGCAGTGGAGGTGTCATGTCTGAGGGCAATGTGTGGTGTGAATATAATGCAGAAAATTTCGTAGTTTGGAAGTTAGGAGGAGTGCGGGATTACCAAAACTGTTGTCCAGAGGGCTGAGGAAGGGTTGTTGAGGTGGTTCGGACATGTAGAGAGAATGGAGCGAAACAGAATGACTTCAAGAGTGTATCAGTCTGTAGTGGATGGAAGGGGGGGTAGGGTCGGCCTAGGAAAGGTTGGAGAGAGGGGGTAAAGGAGTTTTGTGTGCGAGGGGCTTGGACTTCCAGCAGGCATGCGTGAGCGTGTTTGATAGGAGTGAATGGAGACAAATGGTTTTTAATACTTGACATGCTGTTGGAGTGTGAGCAAAGTAACATTTATGAAGGGGTTCAGGGAAACCGGCAGGCCGGACTTGAGTCCTGGAGATGGGAAGTACAGTGCCTGCACTCTGAAGGAGGGGTGTTAATGTTGCAGTTTAAAAACTGTAGTGTAAAGCACCCTTCTGGCAAGACAGTGATGGAGTGAATGATGGTGAAAGTTTTTCTTTTTCGGGCCACCCTGCCTTGGTGGGAATCGGCCAGTGTGATAATAAAAAATAATAATAAAAAAATAAAATAAATGTCAGTTGCCCCTCTATAAACGTGTACATCCTGGAGCCTACCCATCATCCTTTTATCCACCAATACACAATCTAACAAACTACTTTCATTACGTGCTATATCATACCTTGTATATTTATCCTCTTCTTCATAAAATATGTATTACAGTGGACCCCGGTATTCGATATTAATCCATTCCTGAGAGCTCATCGAATACCGTTAATATTGAAAACCGAATCAATTTTCCTCATAAGAAATATTGGAAATCAAACTAATCCGTGCAAGACACCCAAAAGTATGAAAAAAAATTTTACTACATGAAATATTAAGTTTAATGCAATAGAATAATTTAAATAACAATAAAATAATTGACCACTTACCTTTAAAAAGATCTGGTGATGATTGATGGGATGGGAGAAGGGAAAAGGTGTTTAGTGTTTAGAAGGGAATCCCCTTCCATTAGGACTTGAGGTAGAAGTCTTTCTGGGTTTCTTCCCTTCTTCTTTTAATGCAACTGGACCAGCTTCAGAGTCACTGTTTTTCTATGCAAACAATCTTCCATATGGCCTGTACCTCCCGTTCATTTATGACATTCCTAAAGTGTTTCACAACAGTGTCAGTGTAATAGCCACCAGCACGGCTTGCAATAGCTGTGTTAGGGTGATTGTCATCAAAAAAGGTTTGCACTTTAAGCCACATTGCACACATTTCCTTAATCTTTGAAGTAGGCAACTTCTTCAATTTCTCTATCCCCTCCTCCGAAGCAGTTTCCTCAAGTGTGGCCTCTTGCTGTTGAAGATGATCTATCAGCTCATCAGTGGTTAGTTCTTCACTGTCCTCCTCCACCAACTCTTCCACATGCTCCCCACTAACCTCCAACCCCAAGGACTTCCCCAATGCCACAACGGATTCCTCAACTGGCATAGGATTCTCAGGGTTAGCCTCAAATCCCTCAAAATCCCTTTTGTCTACACATTCTGGCCACAGTTTTTTCCAAGCAGAGTGCAAGGTCCTCTTAGTCACTCCCTCCCAAGCCGTACCTATAAGGTTTATACAATTGAGGATATTAAAGTGATCCTTCCAAAACTCTTCAGTTGAGTTTCTGTGGTCACTATAAAGCACTTTTGAAACATAGCTTTTGTGTACAGTGTCTTGAAGTTGGAAATGACCTGCTGGTCCATGGGCTGCAGGAGAGGAGTGGTATTAGGAGGCAAACACTTGACCTTAATGAAGCTCATGTCCCCAGAAAGTCGCTCTGCCAAGTCTGTAGGATGACCAGGGGCATTGTCTAATACTTAAGGTCTAATTTCTTTTCTTCCAAAACAGGCCTGTTTCGTCGCAATTAAACACTTGTTCAGGTTTCAGTCCTTCACTGTCTATGTAATCCTTGAATTCCTTCACATATTTTTCAGCTGCTTTTTGGTCCGAACTGGCAGCCTCACCATGCCTAATCACACTATGTATGCCACTACGATTCTTAAATCTTTCAAACCAACCTTTGCTGGCCTTAAATTCCCTCACATCACCACTAGTTGCAGGCAATTTCTTTACCAAATCGTCATGCAACTGCCTAGCCTTCTCACAAATGATCACTTGAGAGATGGTATCCCCTGCTATCTGTTTTTCATTTATCCACACCAATAACAATCTCTCAACATTTTCTAACACTTGCGGTCGCTGTTTCGTAATCACAGTTGCGCCTTTTGCAAGAACAGCTTCCTTGATTGCCGTTTTCCTGGTCACTAAAGTAGAGATGGTTGATTGAGGTTTATTATACAACCTAACCAGCTCCGACACACGCACTCCACTTTTGTACTTTACAATTATCTCTTTCTTCATTTCGTAAGTCATTAGCGACTTTTTTCTCAAAGGGTTGGCACTAGAAGCTTTCTTGAGGCCCATGGTGACTTATTTTGAAGAAACAAGCACCAAACACAGTGATAATATGGATAATATGGAATGTACCGAATGTATCCTTAGATATGCACACACTGGCTGGCTTGTAAACACTGGCACACACGAGGCAGTTCAGGCCACACGTGGACACGTCTCGTACGAATTGTATCGAATACCGAGGAATTTTTTTTGCGATATAATGCATCAAATACCGGATTTATCAAATACCGATGCCATCGAATACCGGGGGTCCACTGTACTTATTACTAAACCTCTTTCTACACATAGCTCAATTAAAGGCTCCCCATTTTCATTTACCCCTGGCACCCCAAATTTACCTACTACTCCCTCCACAACATTTTTGCCCATTTTTAGCATTGAAATCCCCAACCACCATTACTCTCACACTTGGTTCAAAACTCCCCACGCATTCACTCAACATTTCCCAAAATCTCTCTCTCTCTACTCTACACTTCTCTCTTCTCCAGGTGCATATACGCTTACTATAACCCACTTTTCATATCCAACCTTTATTTTACTCCACATAATCCTTGAATTAATACATTTATAGTCCCTCTTTTCCTGCCATAACTTATCCTTCAACATTATTGCTACTCCTTCTTTAGCTCTAACTCTATTTGAAACCCCAGACCAAATTCCATTTATTCCTCTCCACTGAAACTCTCCTACCCCCTTCAGCTTTGTTTCACTTAAAGCCAGAACATCCAGCTTCTTCTCATTCATAATTATTATTATTATAATATTCATGAAGGACTATAAGAACTGTCATTAAATTTTTTTTTTTGTAAATGCTCAGTAGGAAATAAATTGTTGCTTATTTCTTAATATGAGAGGTAATTAGGTAAAGTCCAGGTAAGTAACCGTGATAATATTTGGAAGAATAATTTTCAAATAGAAAAACAGTATAAATAGTAGCCTAAATTTGTTTCAATGTATATGCTTCAAGAATATTGGCAAGGTGACAAGTGCAAAATGTATAATAAGCAACGTAAAATTTTAAATATTTTAAAAATAGTATACTGTACTTAACCCTTAAACTGTCCAAGCAGATCTATGTTCACATGCATAGTGCTCCAAAAGTAGATCTACGTTTTTTTTTTACATATTTTCAAATATAACAAAAAAAAAAAAAAAAGTAGATCAAAGTTTTTTACACGTTTTCAAATGTAAAAAAAAAAAAAAAGATCTACTTTTTTTACATACTTTCAAATGTTGAAAAAATGTAGATCTACGTTTGGACAGTTTAAGGGTTAAAGATATCCTACATAAATAATATCTTGGGAATATATAAGATAATGAAAAAGAAAAACTCACAATTCTACTTCTTCCACTTCTTGTGGATTTTGGAGTAGACAGCAGCTGGTCTGTGGAATTGTCAGCACCTCTCTTTCTCTTGGATCTTTGACAAACTTTACTGTCTTCACTTGACTGACTTGATGAACGACTAGATCCTGCATCATATTTTACTTCTGCAGTATCTCTATCCCCGCTCTTGGTCTTTTCCACAATCATGCTATTTCTTGTTTTTTTACAAACAACCAGATCTGCTTTGGTAGCAAGATTTGATGTGGCAATGCTAGCCCGTGTTTTACATGAAGTTCCTGATGTTTTTACTTTCGTTTGCTGAATGTTAGTCTCCTGTAAACTTAAACTTTTCTCCAGCAAAGGCATGGACTTTGCAGTAGTAGATTTGCATCCTCTTTGTGGATTTGTGTAGTATCATTTTCGTTTTTACTGTCATCAACATCAACATTCCTTTTTTGGGTACTGTTTTGTCTGGCTTGCGTTATTTCTACTTCTTCATGATTCACTGTAGGTACACTGAGGTTAGGCATAGCTGAATGCCTTCCTCTCTTTGCAGGTAATGTTTCTACAGGTTCTTGTAGGGTTTCCAAGGTATGAGCTTTCCTGGTCCGGCTACTCCTAGTTGAAGCAAGTTGTGCTACATCAGTTATATTACCATCACAAGAAAATCTTTTTGGCGCTCGACGGATTCTACTACTGTTCAATCGTCCTTGAGCAGAACTTTCAGGTTCATTTAACTCTGCACCAGTTTCTGGTTTCTTATTTTTCACACCTAGTGTTTCAATCGTAACTTTTACATCTGAATCTTCTTTTTTATTTGCTTCTGTTCTTGATTTATTTGTACTAACTTCAGTCACAGGAAGATCAGGACACTTGTACCTTTTATTCATTCTTGGTCTGCTACTCTCTCTTCTGTCACTTAGTTTAGTAATACTTGGCTCTGCAATTATATCAGGCTCTTCATGTTTATCATCATCAATTATGGATGATAAACTCCTCTTGCTCATTCTGACTTTTTTTCCATTTTCTACAACTCTCTGAGTTGACATATTTGACTTCTCATCTTTAATGAATGATTGATCTAATCTTCCCTTTGTAACAGATTCTGCTGAAGTGTTTGAGGTTCCAAGATCACTCTTTGCTGCATTTCGATTGCTACTGACACTGAGAATGCTTAAATTACTGACAGTGCTAGAGTCAGAATTTTGTCTTTTGCGACCACTACGGCGGATGTTTTGAACATCATCTATTGTTACTTCACCTGCACTATCTCTGCAAGTAGAGGATTCTCTGTTTAGTGACTCATTAATCGATTCTTTACTCTTTGTCCTCGTTCTCCGTTCTACTACATTTACTTCTTCGGAATTAGTTTTTGCAGTTCCACGTTTTCTTTTCTCTCTTGCAGGCAATGACTTTTCATTTTCTTTATCTTTACTCCTAGTATGGTGTCCTGTAAATTGTTGTTTACTAACCTCTTTTGTTCCAGAGTCTTTATTGTTCACTATCTTCTCTTTTCTAACACCATCTGAAATGCTAGTTGTGAACCTTTCTGCTGTTGATGTTCTACCCACAATAATCTCAGGCAAATGATTACTATCCTCTTTCAAGCATGCCTCAGTTATATTTTGAGGGGCTGTTTTAGATTCACACTTTACTTTTTCATTCTCTCTCTTGTTTTTGAGCCTGTCTTCACTTTCGCCAAGAATCTTTTCCTTTTTTGCTGGAGATTCATTAAATCCTATAAAACTGTCACTTCCTTTACTGTTGTTAAATAATTCATCATTATACTCAATCTTCCTTTTCGACTTCCTTGTGCAATTAAGATCAGGGCTTCTGTTATTGGATATCGAAAATGTCACCGTATCTACGGATGTGCTTTGTTTCTTTCTTGTTTTAGGAGTAAATGAAAGAGAGCTATTAATTCTTGAATTACTCTCACATGTACTCTCATCCTTAGTACTGACAGCTGCTGTTTCGTCAATCTCTTCACCTGATGTATTTTCAGCATTTTGTTCTATTTTTTTCTCTATCTGTTTTTTTGGAGCCTTTTTATTTCCTTCAGCAGTCTCCACTTCACTCTTACCAGTTTCTGAATGAATCTCTGTAGTCTTTCTCTTTGGAGACTCATTTATTTTGCCCTCCCTCTTTGGAGACTCGTTTATTTTGCCCTCTCTCTTTGGAGAATCATTTATTTTGCCCTCTCTCTTTGGAGACTCGTTTATTTTGCTCTCTCTCTTTGGAGATGCTCCTTTTAGGGTGTTATTTATCTTATCCTCTCCCTTTAGGGTTTCACTTAGTGTACTATCTCTCTTGTGAGGCTTTAGTTTATCCTCTTCCTTTGGTGTCTCATATATTTTATCTCCCTTGGGAGACTCATTTGTTTTATCCTCTCCCTTTGGAGTCTTGTTTATTTTATCATTTCCCTTTAGGGTGTCATTTATTTTATCCTCTCCCACAGATGTCTTCTTCATTTTATCTTCTCCCTTGTGAGACTCATTTATTGTACCCTCTCCTTTTGGAGTCTCAGTTATTTTACCCCCTCTCTTCAGGGTCTTATTTATTTGACCTTTCTTTGAAGTTTTACTTTCACTATTATCCAAGTTTTCCTTGTGTTTATTTTGTATTTCTCCTTGGTTGTGTTCTAGTGGCAAATCAAAAAGGTTCTGAGAGACATCACAAACCCCATCTTCTGAATCACTGTCACTAATATTATGTTTTTTTCCTAGGTTGCTTAATTTCTTTTCATTTTTTTGATTCTGCAAATTATTAGAAGCAGTGTCTTGACTTGTATTCTGCTTGCTATCAAGAATACTTATGTTCGCAAAAGGCATATCGATTAAAGGGGAAGAATCTTGGGTCGACTGGCTCTGGGATGAGGGAAGAGTTTCTGATGACAAAGTAACAGGAAACATTCTGGACACACGCTTAAACTGATACTTTTCATTGTCTTCAACTTTTGCTTCTCTGTGTAATTCCTGATTTTTTGTTAACGAGTTTCCTGTAGATGCCATATCATTGAGATTCTTGGGGCTTAATAGAAGGGAGGCAGTGGTCAAAGGTGTGATGCAATCTTTATTTCCTTGAACATTTGATTCAGAGCTTAGCTCCAGCTTTGACATTTCACTTCCATGTGAAATGTCAGCTTTACTTGTATGCTCTAAAATGTCTGAAACTACAAGCTCACTTTCAATATCTGTACTTTCATCAGAATTGTAGCCCTCATTCTCTGCAATAGCACTTGTTTTTGACGTATCTTGTTGCTTGATATGCAAATTATCTACTACACTATCTTTTAATATTATTTCCTCCATCCTTTCCTTTTCTATTGTGGATGCACCAGTTTTTTTCGAGTCTGTGCTATATGAAGCATCATCTGAAGCAGATGATGAGCCATTACAATTTCCTGATCTTAAGCTCAAAGGTATACCATCATTCTCACCTTTTGCCTGCATGTCATCCAATAAATTTTCTGACACATTAGATGAGGAGTCATGAATGTCAATATTCTCACATTCGCCTGCTTGTTCTACCGAGAGTGAAGGTTCTCGGGTATCTAAACACGGCTTGTCAATAGCCAAACCACCATCAAGGGTAAGATCCTGTGTTTCATCAGCATCTAATAGAGCCCAAGTTTGAGAAATACCTTTAGGTAACTCTTTACTAGAATTGTTTGACTCACCAGGGATCAATTCTTGGGGTGAATTATCACTCACTTTGTCATAAATATCAGTAAATAATTGAGTAGGAGCATCACATTCATTTAAGTCCTCAGTTATAGACTTTTCTTTAAATATCTGTGTAGGTGCATCATAATCACTATCTTCAACATGAGTAGATGCTTCAGATTCCTTCAAAGTGTCAGCACATGAAGCATTTGTTTTCTTAGTAACCTCCTGTAAAATAGATTGAGTTGGTGTTGTATCAACCTTTAACATAGGTGATTTATTCAATATTGAGGGTTCAGTAAAGAGCTGTGTAGGGGGTAAATCATCATCATCATCACAGGCATTGTCTTGTCCTCCAACAGAAACAGGAGATAAATTTAGGGACGTTATCGTGCTTTTCTTTCCCCCCGTGCCTTTCTTTCCTGACAAATAGACATTTGTAAATTTATTTATTGGAGAATCACAGTTTTCATTTGTTTTAGGTTTGGGTGTTGAAAATATCTGTGTTGGTTTATTAAATATATCTAGTTCATCATCACTTTGATTTTTTTCTACTTGTTTATCCTCATTGTTAATTAATTCTTCTTTTGGTGCTGGATCAAAATGCTGAGTGGGTATATTATCTTCATTGATGGTGTCTGTATTACTATCAGAATATAGTTGTGTAGGCTGGCTGAAAATATCATCAAAAATACCAATACTACATTTTTCCTTTTGCACACTTTTACTTTGTAGCTGAAATTTATAACTTGAGTCTGGATCATCAAAAGGTAAAGTTGGAGCAACAAAAATATTGTCATTATTGCATACTGTTTTTGACTGATGATCATCTGATGAAAATTGCTGAGTTGCAGCCTCTAAAATGTCAGCATTCACATTTTCACTGTATATTTCATCCCAGAGATTTTTTTTTGTTTTAGGTGCCATAGCAAAAGGTTTTTTGAATACAGGTGATTCTTCATTTTCCAAGAACAATTGTGTGGGTACATCGTCATCATCTTCATGAATATTTTGTGATTTTGCACTGCTCTTTACTACTGGCAGATCAAAGGCATTCATAATGTCCTGGGTACTATCGCTTGCCTCATTTTGAACTGACGGTGACATTTCATCTGTGTATTCAGTATTTCTTGCCACTTTTGGAGACTTATCCAAGACAGGATACACCTGAGTCGGTTGATTAAAAATATCTTCAATTTCAGCACTTACATTACTATTCCCTGACTGGTCATCATCAGTACTCTTGGTGTTAGTATCTCTAGACATACTTATACCTGAATCAGACATGTCCTTTTCATTATTTTTGAGAGTATTCTCCTTATTCTTGCTTAGTTCCATATTAGTTGTTGATAAATCTTTTTGTGCATGTGACTCACTAAACAGTTGTGTTGGAACATCATCATCCTCAACATCAGTGCTCACATCACTATTATATTCTCTTATTTTGAAGTCTTCACATCTAGCTGTGGCATGAGTTAGTTGTACTTTACTGTTCTTATAAGACGCAATGACATGCTTCTCTTTAGCATGCTGAGAAGGGTCAAAGAAGAAACTATCATCATTCTCCTCACACACAATCTGCAAAGTTCAAGTCTAAAATCACAAAAAAGTTTTCATAATGTGTTTGACACACTGAACACAAAGTAAATTTTACTAATCATATATAAAAATTATCTTTGGTTCAAACAAAATTTTTATGTTTTTTTTAGATTTATAACTCACCTACTTGCTATCTATTAGCCAGACTAACTTTTTATTCATTTGAAAATAAATACATAAATTTATGCAGATACACTAGCACATCAAAAGTAATTGAACAATGGTACATGAATAGATATGGAGCTTGAACTATATACAGTGGTACCTTGACTTACAAGTGCCACTACTTACGAGTTTTCCAAGTTACAAGTTGTCACTTGGTAAATTTTTTGCTTTGAGTTGCAAGCCAAAATCTGAGTTATGAGCGAACTTCAGATATGCCGCCACTAGTTGGCGCAGCAAATGCCACAACATCTGCCCAGCATCCCAGAGTTTTGTGCTTTCTGTGCAGTTAGTGGAACCTCTGTTTTCGTCTTTAATTCGCTCCAGAAAGTCCAACAAAAACTGAATTCACAAGTGCAACTAATGTGACATTTATTGTGGCAACGTTTCGCTCTCCAGGAGCTTTATCAAGCCATTACGTAATGGCTTGATAAAGCTCCTGGAGAGCGAAACGTTGCCACAATAAATGTCACATTAGTTGCACTTGTGTCCTTTTACTTTACATATTGTCGGTAATTCTACCAACTTTATTACAAAAACTGAATTCGACGAAAACTGAAGAAATATTTCCCATAAGAATTAATGTAAATCCAATTAATCCATTCCAGATATCCAAAAGCATTAACAAAAAAAAAATACATTTTATAGAGAATAACTATAGTTTTACATACAGAAAACAATGAGAAATAAATATAAAGGACTAATGAAATGGATAAATGAACACTGAACATAACTTTTACCTTTATTGAAGAGACTTGCTGGCGTATGGAAGATGGCGAGGAGGGAAGAGGGAGGAGAGGTTATTGTTTGGAAGGAGAATCCCTTCCATAAGGACTTCAGGTATCAAGTCCCTATAAGAACATAAGAACATAAGAATGTAGGAACACTGCAGAAGGCCTACTGGCCCATACGAGGCAGGTCCTTATCAAAACGACATCTACCTAAAGCTACCCAAGAAATAACTCCCGTACCCCATGACACCAATCAAACCCAGCCCCTCCCACTCAATATTTGTCCAGTCTCTTCTTAAAGCTACCCAAGGTCCTAGCCTCTATCACCCCACTAGGAAGACTGTTCCATGCATCTACAACTCTGTTAGAAAACCAGTACTTACCTATGTCCTTTCTAAATCTAAATTTATCCAACTTAAATCCATTATTCCTGGTTCTTACCTGGTTCGACACCCTCAGTACTTTATTAATGTCTCCCTTGTTTATGCCCGTCATCCACTTATACACTTCAATGATATCTCCCCTCATTCTACGCCTCTCCAGAGAGTGGAGATTTAAGGCTTTAAGTCTATCTTCATACGGGAGGTTCCTCACACAGTAAATCATTTTAGTCATTCTTCTCTGTATGTTCTCTAATGAGTCTATGTCCATCCTGTAGTAAGGGGACCAAAACTGAGCAGCATAATCTAAATGAGGCCTCGCTAGTGATGTATAGAGCTGCAAAATAACTTCTGGACTTCTGTTACTTATACTTCTTGAGATAAATCCAAGTAATCCGTCCGAAGCTACTTCCCTTCCTTGTCTTTTACTGGCACTAGGACCAGCTTGAGAGTCCAGAGAGGTCTGTTTCTGGCATCTCTTTAAGATCTGCCTAAAATGGGACAAGGCATTGTCATTGAACATGTTACAGACATGGCTTGCAACAGCTTTGTTAGGGTGATGTTTCTCCACAAAACTTTGCAACTCACTCCACTTTGCACAAATGTCCTTAACCCTTAAACGGTCCAAACGTATATATATATATATATATATACAATTATTACGCGTAGCGCCCCAAACGTATATATATACATTTTTTCCTGCCTTCAAATTTGGCATGATTGGCCTGAGATGCCTTGTCAGCATAGAATGGGTCCTAACGCTCAGTGTGCGTGGTATTAAAAAAAACTGGGACCACTTAGCACCTTGTGGGAGCGCCAGTTAAATTGAGCGCCAGCTAGAGCAAACAGTGCGGCAAACACCAAGGATTCACTGATGTAATGTCATATTAATCCTTTCAGGGTCCGTCCTGTAGATCTACGGCTTTATGTTCAGGGTCCAAACCGTAGATCTACGCCATGAGCTCAGCTCACTCTGATAAGCTGTGAGAAGTAAATTTGGGCCTAGATATGAGAGAAAACATCTATGTGGTATGTGTGCACCACATAAAACAAATCCTGCAGCATACAGTGTATAATGAGAGAAAAAACTGAGACCGTGATTTTCGATTAAAACAGTGACTTTGCAGTGTTTTTTCGTATGTTTTATATAGTTGTATTTGCAATTTCTTGGTCTCATTTGATAGAATGGAAGACATATTACAGAAATGGAGATGATTTAATTGGTTTTACTACTGGAAATGGCTTGAAACTGAGCTCAAATTAGCGGGAATGTTAAATTTTTGTCGATGTTCAATAGTAAACAAACGACCTCACACGTCTAATACACGCCAGCTGGTGGGTCTAATATATATTCACAAATGTGATGATGACATTTATACAATTATTACAATATTGCATAACAGTAAATCTTCTATTTTTTGGTTTGAAAAAAAATTCATTATGTGAATAAAAAATCAAAATGAGCAGAGGAAATGCTAGTTTAGTGCCAGGAATGCCTGCATTGTTTATTCTGGACCCTATTTTGAAATTGGAATATTTTGAACTTTGTGTTAAATTGGCCAAATTACCAATTTCCGGTCACTTTATTTTGTAGTTGAAACAGTTGACTGGGCGATTTCTTGTGCTTAATCGATAGAATGGAAGTAATACTAGTGAAATAGCTAAGAATTTGGTCGACTGGAATAATGTAATTCGCCTAAAATGGGAGTCAAAGTCGGCAAAATCGCCGATTCGTAAATATCGCTGACACATCAAAATTCGCGAGAGCATAATTTTGTAAATTTTCCATCAAATTTCGTACTTTTTGTTTTATTACCTTCAGAAAAAGATTCTCTACTATTTCATAAGAAAAAATAACTTTTTTTTTTTTTTAATTTTTGGACACTGGTGCACCCTTTGAAATTTGGCCTCTGGACCCTGAGAGGGTTAACATTCCTCTTTTAAGAGGAAAGTGATGTTAACCCCAAGTTTAGGGTCTGTCTATCTGTCTCTGTATCTCTGTATATATATCTATCTATCTCTGTATATATATCTATCTATATCTCTCTCTCTATATATATATCTCTATATCTCTCTCTCTATATATATATCTCTATATCTATCTATCTATCTCTATATCTATCTATCTATCTATCTATCTATCTCTATATCTATCTATCTATCTCTATCTATCTATCTCTCTATACTATCTATCTCCTATCTCTCTCTATCTCTCTCTATATCTATCTCTCTATCTCTATCCCTATATCTATCTCCTATATCTTCTCTCTATATCTATTCTCTATATCTCTCTCTCATATATCTCCTCATATCCCCTTTCTCTATATATCTCCTCTCCTAATATAATAATTTTCTTCTCTCCCCTATATCTCTTATTCTCTCCTCTTCTCTAATAAAAAAAAATTTTAAATTATTATAAATATATATATATATTATATATATTATTATAAATATAATATCTTTATACCTCTCCTCTCTCTCCTCTAAATTAATTATATATACTCCTCTCCTCTATATATATTCCTCTCTCTCTCTCTCTCTCTCTATATATATATATAATATATCTCTCTATACTTCTCTCTATACTCTCTCTTCCTCTCTCTTCTCTCCTTATATATAAAAATTTATAATATTAATATATATAATTATATATATTATATCTCCTCTCTCTCTATATATTTATCTCCTTCTCTCTACTCTCTTTCTATATCTCTCTCTCTCTCTATCTCTCCCCTCATATCTCTCTCTCTCTAATCTCTCTCTTCTATATCTCCTCTCTCATATCTCTCTCTCTCTCTATCTCTCTCTCTCTCTTTTCTCTTCTCTCTATCTCTCTCTCTCTCTACTCTCTCTCTCTATATCTCCTCTCTCTAATCTCTCTCCTCTATCTCCCCTTCTCTCTATACCTCCTCTCTCTCTCTAATCTCTCTTTTTCCTCTCTCTCTCTATATCTCTCTCTCCTCTCTAAATTTTCTCTCTCTCTCTCTTCTCTCTCAGGTACACATAAATACAAGTAACATATGAAAAATTACCAGGAAAACCCCAAAAAAACCCAGACAAAGTGCTAATCTGTTAAGATATGAAAAAAGGGTGATGAACAGTTTGTGGCTTTGGACAGGTAGACGGATAACAGATAAAGGGAGCTTAAAGCAGAAAAATAACGACTTTTTTTTTTGTACCCGCGAAAACAAAGTGAGGGTGAAGCTCATCAATATCACCTCAATCTTTTCTTATCAGCGCACCCCCCCCACCCTCGTGTATGCTCATAAAACGTCACCTCTTATCAGATTTTACCATTTATCAGCCCCCCACTGTTGGGGTGGACTTTTTTTTTTCATGCTTCAAGGAAACTTATTATTCCCTATTATATTTTTATGTATTATTCTTCCTCCTTTTCTCCTCCCCCTTTCTCCTCCTCCTAAATCTCCTCCCCCTCCTTTCCTCTTCCCCCTCCTCTTTCTCTTCTCCTCCTCTTTCTTTTTTCCCCTCCCCCTTTCTTTTCTTCCCCCCCCTTTTTTTCCCACCTCACCTCCTTCCTTCCTCCTCCTCCTCCTCCCCCCTCCTTCTTTTCCCCCTCCCCTCCTCCTTCCTTCCTTTTCCCCCTCTTCATTTTTCTCCTCCTCCCCTCCTCCTCCCCCTCATTGTTATTATATACTTCCACTATCCAAAACTTGCGGGCATATAAATATTTGTATATATTCCAAAC